TAGTACTTGGATGGGTGACCGCTTGGGAACACTACGTGCCGTTGGCAATTTTTTTAATATTTTATTTATTACATTCATTCTACTACGTCAATTTAAAAAAAATTGGATTGTTTTTATCCAATTTTAATTTTATTTATAAGCAATAATAATATTAAATTTACAAATTTTTTTTATTTTCTACTTATGTAGAAAACAAAAATAGTATGACATGGATTCGAGGAACAAACATATCATATAATTGCTATGCTGTTGAAAATAATATTATAATACAACAATAAGTGTACGGGTTTAAAATATTGTGTCGCCATTTTTGCAATAGAACAAAGTTCTGTGATTTAATTTTGTTTTACATTAAATAAAAGTTCTACCCAAACATTTTAAATGACGAATACTACGTATGGTGATGTTTTTTTAAGTCGTAGCATGATTTTTAATGTTATTCTCGGTTTAAAAACGGTCGTGAGTCACTGGAAGGCGATCTTCGAATGAACCTTCAATAAAGGGTGACTTCTGAGTTCCAATAATGAAAAAAAATGTGGAATTCGTGTGCTGAGATCTATCTCATAATCGGTGAATACCTATTAACATTTTGTCAAAATATCTGCGAATCATTCTAGCAACTAACTGAAGAACACTGTATTGATGGACAAGCTCTACAGAGCACACACACTATTTTACATAAATTTCTTTTGTATATAATACGAATATAAATTAAAAAAAAAGTAATTTACCAAAGTGACCAAAAAAGGTATCAAGAAAAAAAAAGTGCCGAAAAAATAAAACCATAGTTGAGCCTATGTATTTGAATGAATTAAAAGAATGAAATTAAAGTTATGAACAAAATTATCACGATATTATATCGATAAATGACTACAGTGCAGACCACGAACTAAGATAATAGAAGACTAGAAACGAATGTTAATAACGTTGACCCCAAATTGAATAAAGTTGGTAATTACCATAGGTGGATATTTTGTTTCATCTGTGGGAGGGTCTTAACATTTTTGTCTTATTCATTAACGGAAACAAATATTTTTAGTCGCTTTCGACGCTTCCACCTACCAACTGTAGTGGCTACTCCTACTTTATTCTAGCTGAAGCACCAAGTATATATATATATATATATATATATATATATATAGATAATACGAACATAAAAAAATAAAATATTGAATAGCTACTAAATTATTTTTATTTTAATTGTATACATCTATTTTTTTGTGCAAATATATTAACAATTGTTTTAGTATTAATAGATTTAGAAATTTATTTTCAATATATAATATTGAGGTGTTTTTGAACTTTTCCTGCAGCATAGAAGTTCGAAGCAAAGTTTTTATTCTACACATGGTCGATAAACTCCTTTCACAAGTGAAGGAACTTATAGGAATTGTTAAAGCAATTTGAAATAGTTTATATAAATTAGGGAAAGTCTGTTTTATTAAAACCTTTTTCACATAATTTAAAGTTATATAATTTTCATCAGTAGAACTCTTTTTTGTTTAGTTATATCAATGTCTAAACCAATATTTAAATCTTCATTTTCAGATTCTAGTGTTGTTGTTGACGAGGAATTAGAAACAATTAATTTTTGTTTTTTAATACTAAAGACATCAAACATTCTTTTATCCATTATTGAATCAATTGCAATTTATAATTTAAAATTAATTTATTAATTCAGATAAATACACAATTCACACAAATAATGTAAAATTATATTGTTTATTTGTTTAGCATGTCACTTACGGAGAACCACACGTAGGTATTAAAAACAAAAAAATAAAAATAAAGGCGATCACCGTATACGCTCCAAAAACATAATCGACATTAATGCTGTGGTGGTTTGCAGCTTGTGTATTTATAACTTTACAGGTATCGCAAATAAGTTCTAGAATATTCGCGATTAACAATATATACCTACAAAATATAATTTTCCCAACAACGATAAGCCGTGAATATTTCAGACCATTCTCGGATCTCAACAAAATAAAATAAAAATTATAAATATCAAATATTGAAACATATAATTTTTTATTTTGACGTTTACATTCTGGGGAGGGGGCTTAAACCCCCATCACCCACCCCCAATATACGCCTATGGTAAATACGGGGGATGATTCTTTCTTTAAGCGGATTTCAGTGAATAGTTCTCAACATAATACAATATTTTAATAATATTATTAGTGTTTCAAAAAAAAAATAATATTTATGAATTACTGATTCTGTATTTGTAAACTGTTCTGTGGTGTGTCTTCCATAATAATAATTCCTTAATATATCAGATGGATAATAACGTAATCCACATATGTATGAGGTCTGTGATATACATTTATTATTTATTTTAGAAAATATTTTTCCTCGTTGATGACATAACTCTAAATTTTTCGGTAATGAAAACATACAACATTCTTTACACAACACTTATTAATCGTTTTAATATAATAATTTTTAATATAAAACCACTATATTTTATATGGTGTAATGAATAGATCTTTTGTGTACCTAATAAACTAATTAATAAACTATGATAATCATTGGTCTTGAACTACGATTAAAATGTAGTAATAATCTATACATAGGCGCATATTCAGTATGAAATTTGGGAGTGCTAAAATTATCCACCCCAAGATGATCCGTATGGAGCAACGCCTCCACAAACACCCTACAATAGTGGTTCCTGATCTTTTTCATCCTATACCCCCTATTAAATTATAAAAATATCATCCCCCCTACATAAATTAGAGTTTATGCGATTTCAAGATTTGTTCAAGTTAAATATCATACCATATTTTTACTCGGTTATAATAATCGTGAAGTGATTACAATAAATTAAAACCAACGATTAAATTTAAAAAAAATAAAATGGAATGAATATTTAAAAAAGACACACGTATTATAAATTATGTAATGAGTTATTATTTAATATATCGCGTAAATAGTTGAAAAGTATCTACTTATTTTAATTTTTATTATATTAATCACGCACAAATGTATTTAATAATGTACTGTAGATAAATCGTTAACATCAAATGTATTGGAAATGTTTGTTAAAAATGAATATAAATTATTTTACGCATATAAGCAATAAATAAATACGATTTATAAGGAAAATAATTGATTAACAAAAAACAATTACGTGATAAAGAAATGGAGTGCAAAATAAAAACAACTCCGAAAACCAAAATTTTTACTACTGGAATCGACGATGATATACACAATCATTTTGAAAACAAAGAGTAAACCATCTGATATCATAACGGGTCAGATCAAGAAAGCTGTTGAAAATGAATGTTCGTGAATGTTCTAGAACGCTGTAGTATAAAACGAGTCGCGAGGGGCGGCGTAGTGGGACGATCGTCGAGTCGCCGCGAACCTTCTCGAATATTCTCTCGCTTATATATACGCTAACGGCGCACCACTCGGCAACAGTTCGATCACGAGCGCCGTAACAGTACGAGTCGTGTTAATCGAGATATTATACAGTGCGGTATACGTGTCGAGATACAACAGTGCAAATATATTTGTATTTATTTTATCATTTTACAGTGGTGATAATTATTTAGCTATCCAATATTTTTTGTCTCTGTCGAATAGTCCGTGTTTGAAATTTGAACATCGAAAAAATGGTCGGAAAGACAGCGATCGGTATCGATCTCGGGACCACGTACTCTTGCGTGGGTATTTGGCAACACGGCAAGGTGGAGATCATCGCCAACGATCAAGGTAACAGGACCACGCCGAGTTATGTGGCGTTCACGGACACGGAACGGTTGATCGGTGACGGGGCCAAGAACCAGGTGGCGATGAATCCCAAGAACACAGTGTTCGACGCCAAACGGTTGATCGGCCGTCGGTTCGATGACGACAAAATGCAATCGGACATGAAACATTGGCCGTTTACTGTGGTGAACGACTGCGGTAAGCCGAAGGTACAAGTGGAGTTCAAAGGAGAGACGAAAGTGTTCGCGCCGGAAGAAATCAGTTCAATGGTGTTGACAAAAATGAAGGAGACGGCGGAAGCGTACCTGGGACGGACCGTTACGGACGCGGTGATCACGGTGCCGGCGTATTTCAACGATTCGCAACGGCAGGCGACCAAAGACGCAGGTGCGATAGCCGGTCTGAACGTGATGAGGATAATCAATGAGCCGACGGCGGCCGCGTTGGCGTACGGTTTGGACAAAAGCCTGAAAGGTGAGAGGAACGTGTTGATATTCGATCTCGGCGGTGGCACGTTCGACGTGTCCGTGCTGCAGATCGACGAGGGTTCGATATTCGAAGTCAAATCGACGGCCGGAGACACTCACTTGGGCGGTGAGGACTTCGACAACCGGTTGGTGTCGCATCTGGCCGAAGAGTTCAAGAGGAAATTCAAAAAGGATGTGCGCAGCAACCCTAGGGCGCTGCGTCGGTTAAGGACCGCCGCGGAACGAGCTAAGAGAACATTATCATCCAGCTCGGAGGCCACTGTAGAGATCGACGCCCTAATGGAAGGCATTGATTTCTACACCAGGGTGTCTCGGGCACGTTTCGAAGAGCTGTGCGCGGACCTGTTCAGATCAACCCTGGAGCCAGTGGAGAAAGCGTTGGCGGATGCCAAATTGGACAAGGGTTCCATACACGACGTGGTACTTGTGGGTGGGTCCACGAGGATTCCGAAGATTCAGAACCTCCTGCAAAACTACTTCTGCGGCAAATCACTCAACCTGTCTATCAACCCCGACGAAGCGGTCGCGTACGGTGCCGCCGTGCAGGCAGCCATTTTGAGCGGTGATACCAGCTCGGCCATACAAGACGTGTTACTGGTGGACGTGACCCCCTTGTCACTGGGTATCGAAACCGCGGGTGGCGTCATGACCAAGATTGTCGAGCGCAACTCCACGATTCCGTGCAAACAGACTCAGACGTTCACTACATACGCGGACAACCAACCGGCCGTCACCATCCAGGTGTTTGAAGGAGAACGGACTATGACCAAGGACAATAATCTGTTGGGCACATTTGATCTGACGGGCATAGCTCCCGCTCCCAGAGGCGTGCCTAAGATCGACGTGACTTTTGACATGGACGCCAACGGTATACTGAACGTGTCGGCGAAAGACAACAGTTCCGGTCGGTCCAAGAACATCGTCATCAAGAATGACAAAGGTCGTTTGTCCCAAGCCGAAATTGATCGGATGCTTAGCGAAGCGGAACGGTACAAAGAGGAGGACGAACGTCAAAAGGAAAAGATCGCCGCCAAGAACCAGCTTGAAAGCTACGTGTTTAATGTAAAACAAGCGTTAGATGATGCTGGCGACAAGTTGAACGAATCCGAAAAGAATGCCTGCAAACAAGAATGCGATGCAGTCATTCAATGGTTGGATAACAATCAATTGGCCGACAAAGAAGAGTTCGAGTATAAATTGAAAGAAATCCAAAAGAGCTGCTCAGGCCTAATGATGAAGTTACACGGGGGAAAAGCTGCCGGAGAACCTCAAATGCCGTCTGGTGCCGCCGGATTCCCTGGATCTCATTCCCGAGGACCTACTGTTGAAGAAGTCGACTAAACCTTATCAACATTGTAATTGGTTTTTGCAAGTACCATATTTCCTATTATTTTCGAACAAGGCTGATTTATATTTATTGTAATTTGTTTTAATTGTACGTTGCGTATATTTAAAATATAAAATATTTATTTAAGGTTATATATGTTATAATTTTATTTTCGCGAAAATAAATATGTTTTATTTAATCGACATTAATTTTTATTTCCTTGAATAATTTATTGTTCTATTAACACTTAGATACCAATAGTAGGTATCACTCAGCGGTAAAATTGAGCACTAATAGTGCTAATGATAATAATAATGATTATATTAATAATTAATACAAAATTTATGTGGCCGGTCACTTAACGTGGAAAAAACTGCAATTTGACGTGTGGTAACGTAACGGTTAATTATTACATATATGTATGTATATGTACTTGTAGCCGAGCAGTTTTCTAGGAAATATATTTATAAACGTAAACATCTAGTGCCCAATAGGCAATTTATAGCTTATAAAATGTTAATATATATCGACGGGTAGAAAATAATTATTTTATTTTGATACTATGTGCCGCTAATATATATTATTAAACTATCGCCATCTCTGGTGTATAAATGATATAGACAGAATAATCATTATTTTGTCGTTTTGCTGGTCAATCCATGTTTCTCATAAACTCATTCATTTTTATCAAATTAATTTCTGAAAATAGTGATTCATAAGAATAAATTTAAGAAAAAATAGATTAAATTGCTAATGTTACTATATCCGAAAAAAAAAATTAACGATTGATTCCGTTATGTTGGTTAGATTTTAACAGTTGTTTAATATGTACACATTAATAATATTTAAATTATACAAAATTCTATTGTTTAAAATTTTTTTTAATTATAATTATTCAAGCTTAACTTATTAAGTTTATTAATGATTTTTCTACGTTATTACAATCTTAGTCATATAACCTCCATTGTTAAAACGCTCAAAGCATTGCAATTCAGTTTATAATACTATCGAGAACAGTTACTTTTCGAGATCATCAAATATAAGGTTAAAATATTTAAAATATTATAAATTTCAACAGCTACTAGCAATCTATTAATGATCGGTTTGTTCATAAAATCCATGTCTTTACTATGTGTATACATGTCATAGGTACTACTTTTGCCGTCTACATAAGTTTAAATAAAAAAAAAAATTGTGAATTAATGTTTTATTTTATATAAAAATCATAATATTGAACAAAAACAATCTATTTTTTTTTTAATTGTACGTAGTAGTAGAATGAAAAAAAATGCCAACGGCACGTAGTGTTCCCAAGCGGTCACCCATCCAAGTACTA